TAATCCATATTTTTGGCAAATAACATGTTTTTGATACAGACCTTACTGTCACAGTAGTCAAATCAGGCAGAATTTCACTCATTTGCTCCTTGGGTGTTGCAGGTAAAGAGCTATGCCCTGCTTAGTTCAAATATGAAGTCTACAATAAATAATAACAATAAAGTTTGTGTTGCTTAATGACCTTGCAATTCCTCAATTTCTGTCATATTAGGCCTATTTGCTAGTGGACATAGGCTTACCTACATTAATCTTAAACCTACAACAAAGAGCATAGCCTAGAACTACATCTGTTGCCAATTTTGGCTTAAATTTTTGCGTACTGTCACAAAAATCAGAGTAGGCTAGCCCATATTCAAAATTGCCAAAATGCAGTTAGAGGCTGAGGGACAAATGCTGGCAAACAATTTCTTGTGCATCTACGCTTTTGCATTTGCAATATGTTATCTGGTGTAGCAGCGGCATGGGGGCACAGGAAAGCCAAACAGGAGAGCACTGTATTTTGGGGAAGTTCGCAAACATCCTGTGACATCAGTGAATACAACCCATAGGTAATCAATTTCACTCAGCCCTATAAAACATAATTAAAAAACAGTGAAGTTTGAAGAAATTAATTTAAAACGGTATCTACTCAAGAAGGAATAAATTCATGTAATCTGGCCCCCCAACAAATTAACGCACTGTGTTTGCCACTTTTCCTTAATGCCAGAAGTGTCTTTTATGAGCCACCAGTGAATTCTGGGGGCTGCCCTGACACTGCTGAGAGAAACTAGCCGAACAATCCTCTGTACAACACTGTCTGTGAACGTAAGTTCATGTTACAGTTAGCCATACTCTTGAAAGTAAACACCGACAGCTTTGTATTACTTGCTGCTGTTATGTCAGTATTGGTAAACACACCAACAAGTTTTGAGTTGATGTACCTTTCCCTTACCCCTTTTCCACCGAGCTGGTTCCAGTGCTAGTTCAGATCCAGAGCCTGACTTGGCACCAGTTCTTTGCTTTTCCACAGCCTAAGCACCAGCTCCTGGCTCTCAAAACTGGTGCCAGAGCAGCACCAACTCTTTGCTGGTCCAGAGACGAGCGCCGATTATGTCAGGGGCTGGGGGCGGAGTTATTGTGACCAACAAGACCTGCGCAAACACTGAACATTTTAATTTTCTGGCTGATGTTCCCGAAGCCATCGTAAAAGTTGCAGTTTACTATATCGTTAGGTCACTTACCGAGACCCTAATGAGAGGGACAACTACGGTTAGCTGAAGCCAGCATAGAGGGATTGTTACCAAAACGCAACTAAAGACATCGTTGCGGCATTGTTCTCGTATACCTGACGCCAATATAAAATCAAATTTTGGCAGTGGTGTAGCCAGAACTTAAAACTGGGTGGGCATTAAACAGCTCTTTAAAAGAATTATTAGTTCTGACTCGATCGCAGTCATTTTTTCTAATTAACTATACATTCAATCCAAAAACACTCCGCACTATCAGGTGTTGCTTATTCACCTCGTTAAGGCAAATCGACAATCATTCACGAGGACACACAATTTTGTGCACTTCAAATCAGTGGCGTAGCCAGAACTGAAATTGAGCGGCCACACTACATCACTTTACTACAACCCTAATTCCAAAATAGTTGTGACAAAGTGTAAATTGTGAATAAAATCAAAACGCAATGACTTTCAAATCACACCAGCCAGTATTTTATTCACAATAGAACAGAGATAACATAGCAAATGTTGAAACTGAGAAATTTTACAATTTTTTCCACAAAATGAGCTCATTTCAAATTTGATGGCTGCTACAGGTCTCAAAAAAGTTGGGACAGGGGCCTGTTTACCATGGTATGGCATCCCCTCTTCTTTTTAACTCAGAGAGGAGGTGTCTGTGCATTGAGGAGACAAGTTTCTTGAGTTTAGCCATTGGAATTTGATCCCATTCTTGTTTAATACAGGCTTTCAGCTGCTGGAGAGTTTTGGGTCTCCTTTGACGGAATTTTTGTTTAATTACGTGCCAAATACTCTCAATAGGTGAAAGACCAGGACTGCAGGCAGGCCAGTTCAGCACACGGACTCTTCTACTACAAAGCCATGCTGTTGTAATAGCTGCAGTATGTGGTTTTGCATTGTCCTGCTGAAATACACAAGGCCTTCCCTGGAATAGATGTCGTCTGGAGGGGAGCATATGTTGCTCTAAAACCTTTTATATACCTTTCAGCATTCATGGTGCTTTTTAAAACATGCAAGTGTCCCACACCATATGCACTAAGGCATCCCCATACCATCAGAGATGCTGGCTTTTCAACTGAATGCTGATAACAGGAGAGGTGGTCTTTCTCCTCTTTAGCCCGGAGGACACAATGCCCATGATTTCCAACAAGAATGTAAAATTTGGACTCGTCTGACCACAGGACACTTTGCAACCTTGCTACAGTCCATTTTAAATGAGCCTTGGCCCACAGAAAACGGCGGCGCTTCTGGATCATGCTCAACAATGGCTTCTTTTTTGCATGATAGAGTTTTAGGTGGCATCTGTGGATGGCACAGTGGACTGTGTTTACAGACAGTGGTTTCTTGAAGTTTTCCTGGGCCCATTTAGTAATGTCAATGACAAAATCATGCCGGTGAGTGATGCAGTGGCGTCTGAGGGCCCGAAGATCACGGGCATCCAGTAAAGGTCTTCGGCCTTGTCCCTTACCCACAGATATTTTTCCAGTTACTCTGAATCTTTTGATGATGTTATGCACTGTCGATGATGAGACCCTCAAAGCCTTTGCAATTTGATGTGAGGAACAGTGTTTTTAAAGCTGTACTGTCCTCACTATGAGTTACCGATGTTCAAAGCTAGACAGTCAGCTAACAACTTTTGAAGGCATAACTTTTCTTATCATTTATTGAAGGTTTGTTTGTTTTTTGTAAAACTGCAACAAAGTACAAATCACAAATGCATCAGAAGAAATGAACAGAGAATAAGGCAAAGTCAAAACCACGATTAGCAAACTCAAAATGCACAGTCATGCTGCTAGCTTACAGCTCTGCTAGCTGACACTACACTAACAACAAATTTAAAGCCACAAACACAAAGCACAATCAGAAACATTACCCTCTGCCTCTTTCCCTAACACAAGCACAAAAAAAAACACCATACTTACGGACAAATAGTGTCCAAGGCAACAATTTAAAAAATACTGCAGGAGATGAATCTTTCTGCTGCCTGCTCTCAAAGGCTCTCATATAGCAATTAATGCTCACTTCACTCTTCCAACCAGAGGGGGCAGTGTAAAAAATAAAACTTAGACTGCATACAAAGGTTTCACAGGCAGGGGGCAGTGTAACACTAAACTGAACTTGCTTTACAAAGGGCAGTACAAAAGCATTCCATAATTTTTTTTACGCAAGCCTTCACAGGTTGGAGAGCCTCTGGCCATCTTTACTTCTGAGAGACTCAGCCTCTCTAAGACATCCCTTTTATAGCCAATTATGTTACACATCTGATGCCAGTTAACTTAATTACTTGCTAAATGTTCTTTCAGCTGATTCTCTTATATATTAATTGCTTTTTCAGCCCTTTCTTGCCTGTGTCCCAACTTTTTTGAGACCTGTTTTAGCCAGAAAATTTGAAATAAGCTAATTTTGAGGATAAAAATGTAAAATGTCTCAGTTTCAACATTTGAAATGTTATCTATGTTCAATTGTAAATAACATATTGGCTCATGTGATCTGAAAGTCATTGCATTTTGATTTTATTCACAATTTACACTTTGTCCCAACTATTTCGGAATTGGGGTTATACAATTATTAGTCTTAACTTGTTCTCAGTCACTTTCCTTTGTTAAAACAATTTCCATTTATAAGAATAATCAATTATCAACGAAAGAAACGGCTTCTTTCATGATGCGTTCCAAGTCGACTAATCAATAGGCCTTATTCAGTTCAGAAAAAATAAGCAACTCACAAGTTGGCCTATAGGGCACTTTTGAGATGTAAACTGCTCAGGAACTTCCGCGCTACCCTTTTGGCACATCGGGCGATCTAACCTGTGCTTCATGATCAATTAACCCCTTAAACCCGAACGCCCCCCATACCGGGAGCAGTCGTTACGCATAATAAATACAGCATGTTTCCTAATCCCAACAACGTCATGCAGCTTATCCACTTTACGCGAAGAAACTCTGCAAAAAGCTCATGTTGACCATTTTTACCTCAACCAAACACAATTCAGGCACCAAACAAGTAAATAACCATGTAGCAAAACATAGGATAAAATCATATCAGCGCTGAGTCGCCAGCATTTTTACTGAATTTGTGCTATGCATACAAACAACACCTCACATGAAAGAGGAAAGTCCACAGAATCCAACGATATAAGCCTTGTCATTTTAAACTGACGCCCTACTCAAAGAACAGCAGACTTTACAGTCTACAGAGATGAGCAAAAAAATGTTCTTACCTTTGATATTTTGTAATAAAAAACTGTTTGATGGTAAATCTGCATTTGCTATTGTTAGCCCAATGTGTCAGTGTAATAACAAAACTAGATCTCCAGTCTCCAAGCGTGTTTTTTTTTTTTTTTTACTGGGGCATTGCTTCAAAGATCTCAGCTCCTTAGCATTCAGCTTGCTTGCAATGTATTTTCCTCTCTGTGATTGGCTTGTGCTGCTGTCAGTAAGACTTTGCTGGGAACCACTTGATTCTATGGCTTCTGACGTTTCCAACAACCTCTAAACCACCTTAATAGCACAAAGCTAGCCTGAGCTTGAGCCTTGCATTCCCAGTGCGTCAAACTGAGTCCATGGGCCATTTGCATGTACTTGAATAGCGCGACAATATAAACGCTTAACTGGTTTGTTAGTGGTATTTTCCATAAAATTATTTGCTTAATATTCAACAGTCATTTTCTAACAGAATCGTTGTGCCATTCTGTGTGAATACTGAGAGTACAAAAGTACAGTATGTGTTTTCTTGACTTATTTTTATATCAGCTATTTGACACTGGTATCACAGTCAGCTGATATAGCCTAGTGGTTAAGGTAAAGCGTTATATCTTGACCCGCCAGGGTTAAAAACCCAGTCTCGGCATGTATTTACTTAGGCAATCATAGCATTTTTCTTGTATAAATAATTGCTGGGGTTTTTGTTCTTTTTACTTTTTTTACAATTTTTTTTTTTACATTACCTGTGTATTTATTATTTTATTTATTTGCTTTTTTATATATAAATCTGCTCCAGTGGGGTCAAACTTCACTTTCTTTGTATGTATTATCTTTGAATGGGAAATTGTACAGGCTACAGGACTGGCAGAAATAATAATAATAAAAAAAATTTTTAAAAATCATAAAAATTAAAAAGTGGTTGTATTTGGATGGAATGTATGCCTGTAGTGACATATAAGTGAAATTAAATGAGTTTTAGTTTTGTATCTGAGAAATATGAAACGGCACACAGTGTCAGCTTGGAGAGGCCACCTAGACATTCCCAAATTAAAACCTCTATAATTTTGCTCTGATTTACTTGATTAGAATAAACTTTGGCACAGATAATGGTGAGATTCTATGCTGTAATTTTTTGGGGTTTCAGACTGCAAAGTGAATAATTTTATGACAAATAAAAGTAAAACTTTGATGCAAAAAAGATGTTTCATTTATGCAGCATTCCATCTTCATTTACTCTGACTCAGTGACATATACACTGATTTTTGCACCATGACAAAAAACCCCAAGGTGTTGCCTTTATTATGATACCAAGTTTATTCAAATCAACCAATTTGTTGCAGAGATATAGTCATTTCATTTTGGGCATGACATTGTCAAGCCAAATGCTCAGGGCTTAAGGGGTTTAAACTGTTTAAACTGAATCACTGATTTGAAATGCACAAAATTGCTCATCCAAATGAATGATCGTCGTTTTGCCTTAACAAGGTGAATACCCAGCAAACATGAGACATCTGCCCGACATGCAGATGATTTCTATATTGCGTAGGTCGATCCAGGACCACATCAATATGTCTGTACTACACGCAATTAAGGTTCAAGATTTAGGCGTCCAAATATAACCCCTTTTAGACATAGATATTGTCACGTTGTGCGTCAAGGATTCATCCCAGCAAACATGAGACATTTGCCCGACGTGCAGATCATGTCGGCAATTTATAAGAGTCACTCCATGCGCGCTCTCCAATTCTTGCCTATTAATTGTTTGCTCTAGTGTCAGACATTTTTCACAGAGGCCATTTTGACATGTCATGCATCAAGCACAGTGTCATGGTTTGGAGGCTTTTAGAGCTTTCTTTTGTTGCTCTCGTCCGGGACGATATCATTTTGCTCTCAATCGGATTCTTTGGCCAGCTGGCATTGATTGGGGGCGTCGCCCAGATTCTATTTAAGCCCTAGTTCCGCCTCGCTTCCCTTGCTAGAGTGTCAGTGTTATGTTTGCACTTTGGCCGATAAGGTCTCTAGTAAGAGAGTTGTTAGGGTTTAGCTGCATATTTGAGGAAGAGTTCTAGATAGCAAGGGAATCTTTCTGTTTCTTCCTCTGTCTCTGCACCGTCTGGTGCCTATTTCTTTTGTCTCGGTTTCCGAGACTTTTTCCCTTTCTGTTCGTCCTGTCTAGCTTTCCTTGCTTCCCTGCCTCGGATGACACCTATGTCCGTTGGAAGCGCGAGCCTCGCTCTCTATTTTATTTGTGTTTTCTCTTGCTCATCTGCGTCCCCTTTTGTTCGGGCCGCTGCGTTTGGCGTCTCAGCTCACCAGCCATCACAAACAGGTGAAATAATTATGGTCTTATTCCATTTAAGTGTTTCGGGGCCATATGGCCCTTAAGTTGTGGTTGCTGTCTAACTGGAATGATGATAACACACTTATATGCATAATCACATTTATTAGCCTAATTACATCTGTGCTTGCCCAGCTTTAACATATAAAATGGCAACTGTGAAAGGATCGATATCCTGCACCTGTCTTGCACGTCAAGAGACGTCCAAAAAATACCTTATTTTGATGCCCAAATATAGAACCACATGTCTGTGGTGTTATCCGAGTTAACACTGTAGAGTGTTTTTTATTTAGAAGAGTACATATATTGAGCTACAGGAAGTGGTGGGTTCTTTATTGTGTCGGGATGGGACAATAGGGATGTTCATTAAGTTAAAAAGCGATAAAGACTGTTGAATGTGACTCTTACAATTGCCGACATGATCTACACGTCGGGCAGACGTCTCATTTTTGCTTGGATGAATCCTTGACGCAAAACATGGCAATATCTACGTCTAAAAGGGGTCATATTTAGACATCTAAATCTTAAACCTTATTTGCATGTCGTAGACATATTAATACAGTTCTGGACCAACCTACAAAATATAGACATATGCGTGTCGGGCAGTCGTCTCATGTTTACTGGGTCAGCATTGATTCACAATCATATATATACCCTGGGGGGCGGCATGGTGGCACAGTGGTTAGCATTGTTGCCTCACAGCAAAAAGATCATGGGTTTGAATCCGGCCTGGGGCCTTTCTGTGTGGAGTTTGCATGTTCTCCCCGTATTCGCATCATGGGTTTCCTCTGGGTACTGCGGTTTTCTCCCACAGTCCAAAGACATGCTTATCAGGCTAACTGGAGACTCTAAGTACCCACAGGTGTGAGTGTGAGAGCGAATGGTGTGTGAATGGTGTGTGTGCCCTGCGTTGGATTGGCGAGCTGTCAAGGGTGGGTCCCTGCCTTCGCCCAGAGTCAGCTGCTAAAGCTCCCCCTCCCCCTGTGGCCCTAGTGAGGAATAAGCAGGAATAGAGGATGGATGGACATACCCTGGGGGGTGGGACCAAGGACCATATTGCGCATGAAAAGGATGGCACTGAGGTTACTCACGTGAGAAGCGCATAACAGTAATTACATGCAGCACAAGGTATTACAGCAATCCAGTTTCGCGAAGTTTTTAAGGTTTATTGCTCACAAAGAAACAACGCTATTTGCACTACAGCGCTTCCGCACATAAGTTCAAAGAACAGGGATGATTATAAAATGAAATCACTTTTTGGCGCAGCTGTGGGGCAAATAGCAGAAGTGCTTCTCTTATCCGCCCCGCCTGTCTATTTTTGCCATAGATGTTTTTGAACTGGGGCTCGTGTAATTGTGCTCATTTATAAAGGATAAAGTTTTACTCAGATTGTCATTTGTTCATCAAAGATTGCAAAAGACTGTCGCAAGATTTTCAACATTAACTGGGTAGTTAGCTTTACTATACTCTTTCAGCTTTCTAGAACAAATGATACAGTAGTTCCACAAATTACTCAAAGGTTGCAGCTGCAGCAGGGCAAAATGTACCCACAATGCAGTTGTACTTCTATCATTTCCAAGGCCATGAAGGCCGGCTTTTTGAAGTGCTGAATTTCAATTTTAATCAAGCAACATCATCTTCACTAAAGGTCTGTATCCAGTTTTTTGTGCTTTAAACAACAGAAATAGACAAGGACAAGGATTTTATAAATCGCTAAGTAGCCTAAATATATGTTTTCTGTGAAAATGAGGCGCATGCAGAGATTGGGAAGCCCATGCGCTATACGCATATGACACATAAGTAAAGAAAATTGCGTATTAAAAAACTACTTACAGGGCACAAGCAGCATAATGATGTTTATCCCATAAATGATTAAAAAAATCGGTGTGGTACAGCCCTTTAGATACAGGTTTGGTATCACACAGGTGTAATTCAGCTTTCTCATGTTGGGATTGTTCAGAGTCTGATCATTGGCAAACGTCAACTAATATTTTCTCAAAGCCAATTCCGTTCATTGGCAAACGACGACTAATATGTTCGCTATGCCAATTCTACTGGAAACGTTCACCATCACTGGCGTTTGCCTCTAGTTGAAGGTCTATTCAATTAAAGGGAATGAAAAATTTGTTAGCTAGCATGCTAACACTTTTGGCCAGTAAAGTAATTAATTACATATGTAACTGTTGTCATAAACGCTTGAGATTATCAGTGATGTTGCTAGGTACGCGTCCTGCGTCCCTGACTCATTAAAATCTGAAAGGACGCAGTAAACTCACTATCCATTCGTCCCAGGGACGCACCTAATTTTTCCCATGAAAAACGATACATTGTGAACAACAACTCAGTTTTTAAAATCACAGTAACTAGTAGGGCTGTCATTTATATTCCATATTCGAATATATATATATATATATATATCGATTTTCTATCAATAAAACGAACCACCGAACATCAGAATTAATTATCGAATATTAAAAAAAGTCAAGTCAAGATAGTTAACCCAGTGTCAGTGTGTGCAGTGTATAGCGGGTGGCTACCAACGCGCTATACTGCAGAGACGGCTCACTGTCTTGAAACTGTTACATCTTTGTGCCGGGCGAGCACAGTGCATGCCGGTTTGACAGACAGTCCGGAGCTGGAGTCTCACCACCTCGTTGATATTTTACGCGGTAATGATGGCGGAGAGTTCGATTTCACTAGAAAGCTCTGGTTCAGAAACAGTGGCGGCTGGTGAAATGGCGATGGGGAGGCTCAAACCTAGCCTTGCAGAGCAGACGGCCCTGCCTGATTCATTGTCTGAAATCCTGCAGGTCCGCTTGCTAACTACCGTCGTCCAACAATTTCATGGCTAAATTTTTTACGGCCCAATCAGGGGAAAGAGAGGCGGGAGCTGCAGACGTGACATCACCAGGAAGCGACTTTATGTTTGAACACAATGGCGGCGTGCAAAGCGGTTCCTGTGGATGGGTCAATATCAGCAGTGTTATCAGAAATAGACTCAATTTCTTCATTAAAAGAGGAGCAAAGAACGTCACTAAAAGCTTTACTGACGGGAAATGATGTTTTTGCTGTTCTCCCGACCGGTTTCGGTAAGAGTTTGATCTACCAGCTGGCTCCTCTGGTCGTGAAAAAGATGGGAAGGACCCGATTGGTCGGTGATGAGTGAGGCGAGAAGAACCATCGTCCAATCAGCAGCCGCAGATTTTTTTGAAGGTTCCTCCTCTGAAAACTTTTTTTGAGGCTCTTTCCCAGATGGTCTTTTGAAATATTTCCGTGGCGGATATATGGAACTGTCCGTCTAGCATGTC